ATCTATACGGAAAATACATAATATAAAAATATTGAATATAAGCACCAGTACTATATTTATTCGAATCGAATAAACGGATTAATTTATAAGGAAAATTCAATAAAACCCAAAAACAAGCCCAAAGATCTTCCAAACGGTTGTAACTATTAAAAAACCCCAAGAAACATTTTTCATTCATTTAACATAACAGTACCTGGATGTAACATTATTTCTACAAAAAACGCCAGTAACTACTGTTTATAATATGTAATTTGTATACTTTATAGGGCGTTAGCCTGTTGGATTAATAAATTTTTTTTATTATTATACCTATTCTCCTTTTAACAGTATATGAAATATTCTCAGTTTTAAAAACTAAAAATTAGAGACATGCAGTTGCCTCTTTTCAGGTGCATTTATATTTTACGTTGAGCGTAAAAGTGAAACTTTTTTTTTATATTTACGGTCAAGTGAGATTTGCACGTTAGTGCAGGTGCCATGACATCTATTGGTAAAACGAGGTTATGAGCCAGAGCCATTAGGTGTGGGTGTACTTATCAGTTACTTGAAGGCTGAGCATTTGGGATCGAATAAGTGTTACTCCTTTAAACAGCAGCTTCCAAATGTGGGTTACATAAAAACCACGCGGTGTCAAAGAAAATTTCAAAACGCTTAATTGTAAATCGGCTCCTTAAATAGATTTCAGTAAGTCTGCACTAGATAGAAACTATAAGTATATAGGAGACGGACAATTATATCAATTAAAACGGAATTAAATGATTTCGGTGGCGATACTATCTTCGGGCCGAACAAATTAGATTAGCAGTATTACCAAACGGATTCGGACATTAGTCTGCGCGTTATTTTTCGCTTAGAAAGTATTGAATAGTCATTACTGCCAGAAATGCAAACGCTTTTAATTACCTTACATTAGATAATGAATTAATTATCTGGAATGGATAAGAATATTGCCTAATTGAAGTAAAAAATCTATGCATAATAGTTACGCAACTCAGTCATCCACTTTTTTATTTTGAAGCGACCAGTAGTACCTCATTTTACACATAGATACATTTTATACTACACTGAGGAAAATATCGTTTAGCCAGAAATAGAAAATTGATTAAGGGTAGCAAAATATGTGTTTTAAATAGGCTGTAGAAAGGTTACGATAATAAAAATAATTTCCTAATCGATCTTATTAGGGGTATTAGGGGTTCAACGTTTAATAATAACAAAAAAAAAACGCTTGAAACTCGAAAAATACTTATCAGATATCAGTTATTAAATTAAATAAATACATTAATGAATTTATTTTGGAATTATGTAAATTTGAGTGATTTTTTTTACAGTGTATCATATAAATTGTTTTAGTTATAAAGTGATTTAAATACATAGGGAGGGTGACAATGTTCAATTATGTATACAATTGCATAAATTTACAATATACCTAAATTTAAGTTTTTCTTTTGCTTCGTATTCGCCAGAAGAAAAATTTTGTAGAGAATTTTTGGGGAAAAAGGGAGTTACCAGTAGGATGGAAGAAAAGGACGAAATTGAAGAAAATAGTTAGTACATCTCCACAAAATGAATCATTGAAGGAGGCAGTGTAAAAAATATAGTTAAGAGGAAACAATGAACATTAAGGAAACGGTGGAGGAAAGTTATTGAAGCAGGCTTAAAAGGACACGAAGGAAAACGTAAAGGACTGAAGAAAATGGATAACAAAAAGTCGTAAACCAGAATGATACATTAGTACTATAACCACCAAGTGCGTATTTGACAACAAACTTTCAAAAAGCTGCATTCCTATACGTACCTACAAGAGTATTTTTCGATAATCAAGATACAAAAAAGGCTTTAGATTTAACGAGTCACTATTAGCAGTTGCTAAATAAATTGAGAAACACCAACATATTCGAGAATGAAGACAGGAAAAATTGGATCTGAAACGGCTTTCCTAAGATCGTAGATAGCTTTTGACAAACCATACAGTACCGTTAGGCATAGATAGAGGAGTTGGATGGAAGAAGAATATAGTAAATACTGGGACGCTCTATCAGGACAATCACCAGTGAAGATAATATTACTCGCAAAAAAAAATAGTGAAATGAGGAAGACCAGAAATTATAAGCATTTTTCAGTATCGATTGAAGAATACATAAAACTAGTGCAGAATTCTATCTACCGGGGTCGTGGATCGAAAGAAGTATCTGTTTTGCACATCTGGATTACCTACAGAGAACAAATTTGCAGAGTGGAAAATAGAATCGGCCAGAGTTAGGTTAAGGTGTAAGTAGAAGAATATTACTAATTTAAAATCTCACTGTGTAGAAGACAATAATGTCACTATCAGGGAAATAATGTTGTTTATGTCAGGATGTTTCTCATTACCAACAAAATTTATATATTTAAACCAATTTAAGAAATACTGAAAATATAAGTATGAACGTTTCAAATTCGTTCGCATCTAAAAATGAAGTAGGGCATTTCCGAAATTTATACACCTTTTTTTTAATCAAGACGTTGATGACGTCACTATAATCTGTAATTTAAGTGATTTTAAAAGCCAAATAAAACTGCCGATTTATTTAAAAAAAACAGGTTGTATCTAATTAAATTTAGAAGCAAATTATTATCATAATATAGTATATATATTTGTCTATAGCGACAATTCTTAATTTTTTTTATACAAAGCTTATGTCGTCGACCATGAACTATGACAACACGAAATATATACTAAAGTTAATTCTTTACTGTAATACTGTGGTCATGAAATTTTAACACCTTCGAATACATTTTGATAGTCTTTGTTTATCGATAGATCTATATAATTGATATGAAGATATACAATATATATAGGTACATCAAGTTGGTAATATAAATGTTTTGTTGACCGTTGATACATGAAGGATACATTGAAGCGTCAGGTTTATTATCTAAAAGTACATAATATATGTAAAAATTACTAGCAATAATGTCTGTTATACTACCGAAAAAAATATGGTATTAATTATTCATGATAACTTTTTTCATAAAACAAGTCAGGATGAATTAAATCAGTTAATATTGGTAGCCATTTATCGCAAATTATGTTACTACTACTCGAATGAAACAAAACTTGTAAGTGTATAAAAACGCATCAAGACTAAAGTCATTTAATGAAATTGTGTCCTTTATTGGTCATTTGATACATGGGTAAAGCTTTTTGAGCCATACTTTTTAACTTTTTTAAAGTGAGTTGGTAGGTATCTACGATTTATAAAAGTAAGTATTTAGAAAAAAATGCGAATTACCTTCTTATTATTCTCTTTTATTATGGAAAATCGTTTGTGAAAATATTTATAAAGATTGATAATAACTAATATTAAGGATAAGACAACCTCTAAATTTAAATTTGCTTTTATTGTCGTTAATAACAATGTAATTAAATGCAGACTTGCCTACAGATCGCTTAAAACCAGTCGTAGATAAATAAAAAATGTCAGTAATAAAACAAAATTACATCAACGGAGACAAATACAAACAATCGTACAATTTTATTATTTTTTTAGTGGTAGACAAATATTTAGAAGTCAGTATAACATGTATTCCATAAAGTTTAGCTAGGAATTTGCAAAATCGTTTTGGAATAACACATAGATATAATGGAATTATTTTTAGATGTGACTGTTCCGGTTTTGCCAATTTTATTTATTTCACATTTATGTTAAGAGTTTTACACAACTGAAATTTTCATTAATCTTTTAATTTGTATATTAATGTCTTACAATTAAAGAATTTTAATAAACTTCTATTTATTTGTTATATTCAAAATACCAGAACATATATGTTAAAATATTCCGTTTCTAAAACATACTGGTTGGAAAATGAATGTTCCTTTTTGGTTTCTTTTTATGTATTTCGTCATAGGAATAAAATGTCATGATAGAAGCACCCATTCGTTAGACATCATTTTTGAAATATTTGTATTATCTTTATTTCAGTACTGGACAATATTTATCTATCTTGCTACTTTATCATTAACCATGTCTTCTAATAAGGAACGTTGAAATCATTATCTTAAAAACTGACGTTGGATATGAGCTTACACGAAATTTTTTGCTTAAACTGTCTTTAAGAGTAATTTCAATATTTTTCATTACTGACTAGAGATAAACGGCTTAATATTTCTTGCAGGGGCGTATTTGTAATAAAGGGTCTGCTCGTGTCACTTCGCGTCATGAAGAGTTCAATTGGCTTTCTAGATCATATGACTTGACACCGCTGGTTTTCTTTCTGAGATCTTATGTGAAAGAAAAGGTGTACGCTAATGCTTCAGAAACGATTGAATCGCTCAACCACAATGTCCGAACTGTGATTGGTTTAACAGCCTCGCAATTATGCAAAAGATTTCCTAAAAAGACTTAGAAATTGCATCAGGACAGAGGAGCTCATTTGGAAGATATTGTCTTGCTATCTTTAACAGCGTGGTTTATACTTTTGGTTGGACTAAAAATATCACTCTTAAAACTAAAAATAACGCTTTCTTAAACCTCTTAATGGAAGTCCCTTAAATATGTTAAACAGGAAAAGATATATAAGATGCTGCCATTGAGTTGAAATTACTTTTTAAATTACACTTCAATCATAATTTATTTTAATTATTCGCTTTTCCATCCCGATATCCATTTTATTAATAATTAAATGTACACCTGGATGGATTTTGTACACTAGTTTATTTCTGTTAAATTGCAGAATATTGTGTCTCAAAAATCAACCCATAGAAACAGAAACTCTTCGGATTTTGTTTCTGCATAAAATTCTTAATTTTCGCCTTCTTGCATAATGAAATCCCTACCAAATTAAAAATTTAAATAAGTATTCAACACCTATACATAACTTAAGTAGAAAGAAGATATCAGGCACATACAAATATTACGCTGCTGTAGGATTTGTATTTTTAAATAGAAAGAAGTAAGCAATCAGCCTTGAACTTAGCAGATATAAAATATTTCCCAAAATTAAATAATCGCATTGTGGTGTGGTATATGTGAAGCCTAACATCTCGGAATACACGACAGTGTTTGATTAGACTATTTTTTAAGATGGGTGTTTTTAAAGTAAGTCATTACGCTTTACCATTTCATTTTCGAGTTAAAAACATACGTAAAATGAAAAGTTACATTATATACTGTATTCAGTGTATGTTCTAAATTAATTTAAAACTTTTTATATTTATTTATATTTTTACATAAACTTAAAGAACACGCATGGTTTAACAATTTTAAAATTATTTAAGAAATATGTGTATAGGGTGGTCCTAACTTTATGCAGGAAACTTCGAGGGTAGATAGATCTCTTTAAAATAATGTGTTTGCCTTATAAACATAGGTCGAGAACGGCCTCGTTTTAGATATACACGGTGTTGAGGTTTTTAAAAAAATTGATTTTTTTTTTTATATCGCACACTACCTCACAAGTGGTGTAGAAAGGAGTGTAAATAATTTTGTTGATGTGCTTTCAAATTGCACGTACTTTTAGACATAAGCAAATATTCTTGTAATATTATCGTTAGAAGTGTCTGCCACAAGGGGATTGTATTGGTATGAATAACTTGAGAACGGTGAATCTTGGGGAAAAAGTCACCTTTTTTTACGTTTTTTGTGCATTAAAATATAAATCAGTTACCATGACATGTAGAAAATGCAGTGGCGTAGATTTTTTTGTAAAAAAGGGGTGACCCCTGTCCAGTTGTACACCACTGGTTGAACCTTTAAAGCTTATATTTCGGGGAATATAAGGCCTACTATCATACATTATATGTACCAAATTTTATTGAGATCGGTTAATAGATTCCGGAGATATCAATTTTTTTTACAAATCTCCCTGTATCTCTAAAACGGTGCCGTTCCAGACGTATGTTTATAAGGCAAACACATATTATTTTAAAGAGATCTATCTGCCCTCGAAGTTTTCTGCATAAAGTTCGGACCACCCTGTATTACTCTGGAAATTAGCTATTCAAAGAAAATATAAACTGGTAGTTTAAATATTAATTTGACTAATTATGTGTTTAGTTTTAATAGAATTATATATTATTTTACTTATCTATTTGTTAGTATCCTTGTATTTAATAAACTTTTATCAGAATTAATATGCTAAAATTAAATGTTTCGATTTTTAATTTTTTGTATTATTCGTAAATTGTAGTAAAAAGTATATTATATGTACACATGTAGTATATTAATAACAATAATTTTTATTTAATTTATATCCTCAATCTTATGTTTTTTATATAGTCCTCAGATTTAGATATCGTTTTATCTTTTTTAATTCACAATAATAGAAAACGTATTTTGTAGGAGAGATTTTAATTCTTCTTGTACCTTCTTTACAGACCTGTATGGTTTTATGTTTACTTCTAATAAGCTGTACCGCAAGACCTGAAGTATACACTGAGAACCATCATTTTGCTAAAAGGGAAGCTCAAGGTATGTTATCATAATAAAAGGGTCTCATCTGGAGACTTTGTACGGTAATAATTTAAAGATTAAGTCGCTTTTTTAACTATTTTAATATCCTTAGTTTATTGAACTTTAAGGATAATTCGCTTATCCATATATATCCATAATCAAATAGGTATTTGGCTTATTCCAGAATGACCTTACAAATACAAATTAAAGTCAAATAACAGGGCACATTTTGAAAAATAAAAGTTTTTGAAATTTGTAATTTGTATCATTACAATAAAAAATATAAAACAATTAAAATAAGCTAACATTTCTAGTTACACAAATTGGTGGAAAAAGTAGATGAAGCTGCCAATCTCAGATTTGTTACTTTTCTTTTTCAAAGAAGTGTGTCAAAGTTACAAAAAATTGAAATTTAATTGTATGTAACATTGATTTTCATTATTTATTTGTTTATTCCAGTTTTTCCTTCTGCAGTTATATTAGTAAATTAAGAAAACGTTTAAACAAAATGTACTAATTTTTTTAAGAATGCCAACTGCTAATCATAGCTTAAACGAAAAAATCTCACACAGGGCTAAAAGTGTTGTAACGTCCCGTAAACCAAGGTCCACATTAAAATTTTGTAAGGTTGAATAAACACTTGTTCTGGCAGAACACCTGGCATCAAATGGTAGGCGCTAAAGATATTAGGAAAATCAACGACTATTGCAATCTCCTTTCTTTTCTCTCTGTTCGGGCTTTAACAACAATTACACAAAAAGTGTGCCACTGTGAGATAAAATTCAATGGAACATCTTAAAAATAATAATAGAGTTATTAATAAAATTATTAAATAGCTGATAAACTGAGAAAATAAATAAATAACAAATGCTTTTTTAGCTGGTTTCGGAAGTGGCTTTGGTTTTGGTATTGGAGGAGGATTGGGTGGTGATGAAGGAGAAGGTCGTGGCATAGGACTTGGAAAAGGAGGTAAGTTCTGTTATACAAAATTCAAAGAGATGAACTTTTGTTTAAAATGGTGATGGGAAGTTAAGTGTATGAACTGTCGTATTACTACAATACTTACGCTATAATTCAGAATATATTGAATACCTTCCATATTTATATCGCTATATTTTCTAATTTACTAAAGGGATAAAATTGAGATTAGAATAGAATAGAAGTTTAATGACATAAGTACATTTTCAGTCACAAAGTCTGGTACTTATAAAGGTACTGGTACACATATATGAATTAAAATCGTCAATAGATAAAAAAACAACATTAACAAACTTTTGAAAGATTTTACAAGACATCTGTTTGATTTTATTGTATTTAAAATGACTGACAAAGTTGTTATAAAGTCCAATTTGTTATTATTTTTTATAATGTTAATCCGGGAAAATGGAATAACATCAGCATGCCTGGTATAGTGTTGGTGTACGTTGCAATGTTTGACCAAATTTCAGACATTTTTATGAATAAGAAGTAAGGATTCATATATAAAAAGGCATGGAAGTGGTAAAATCCTATTTTTTTTTTAAATAAATCGCCACTGGCAGTAGTTCTACATACACCAGCAATTAGACAAACCGCAGAATGAAAGTTTTTTGGGTACTACTAGAATTACCCCAAAGTGCAATGACATGTCAAATAACTATGAACTAATGAGTAATATACCATTATCATTACACTTATCAACTGAAGGTCGCAGTTGTCTTAACAGGAATATTTGTGTTAATTAGTTCTGGACATAAATATGTGCTGTCCAGTTTAGACTAGAATCTAGAGTAACACCCAAATACTTTACATCCGATTTGGTTAATGTAGAAATAATTGTTTACATGTCACATGTTTTTAGTAATTTGAAATTCCTACACTTCCAAAACTACATACTACCTTTATGAACCTGTCCTCAGTTCCTAAGTGAACGTATTTTAGAATATTTATTATTATCTTATTTCATATTTATTTCCACAGAATTTTTAGCATTATATTTTGCAAGTAATTTAATGAAAGTGAAGTTAATCATAAATAAAACAGATACGTAAATTATGTTTCCAAAGTATTCAAGTACTGAGGTTAACATCCAAATGACTTTAGTATACATATCTTAACTATTAAAGATAGTATAAAGATGCACATTAATGACATTTTTTTCTAGGGGGCTTTGGAAGAGGCTTAGGTTTGGGTTTAGGGCTCGGAGGAGGTTCTGGAAAGGGAGGTGAGTTATAATAAAGCTTTAGATTTCACTTAGAAGTATTTATAAGGTTGTTCATAATCTCCTTCTATTTCAATTTACTGCTTTGTTGGGATATTTGACTGGAATAAAATAAGTACAACTTTCCGCGGAATCAGTATATGCATCCGCAAAACCGATTTTTTTTAAAACGGCAGTGTATTTTCTGCACAAAATGATATGGAACAAAATAAAAAATACAGAGTATTCCTGCAGTACGTTTCGATAATGGAAAGGAATATTTGTCAGTTAATTAAGGATAAGAAAAGAAGTTGTTAAATTTTAGAAAAAAAAGGAAAAAAATTAATTGAGGAATCGCCCATTTTATTATAGCGTCATACCATAAATATATTATAATACTACAAATAATTATCTTTTTGTGTTTTATTTATTATAATTTAGTTTTGTTTGTTCTGTGTAGTTTATTTAATAAATAATGTTAGGCGCCAATTTATAGTATTATAAATATTTATTTAACATGTGAAATGTATTTAAAATATTTAGATTTTGAATTTTCCTATAGTATTCTTAAAAAATATCACAATAAATTATGTTCTATACTTACCAAGCTAGCTCTTTTTATATGTCACTTAATTTGATTTTGAATCTTTAAATGTAAATTAATTCATTATATATTTTTTTAAAAATTATTCTCAAATTATAATTTAATTATATTCATAAAAATTTAATAATTTTAATGACAACTAGACTACTACTGCACTTTCTGCAAATTATATAATAAAATTTTTATAGAGCATGTTGATATCTCAGTAGTCGGTTCTAAAGCTTTTTGAAATTAATTATGAAGAAAATGTTTAATATTTAATTAATTTTATTTCTTTGCATTTGTTAAAAAATAAACTAAATAGTATCGTTTTAATTGACTTTGAAATTCGTATATTATAATAACAGGTTATAAATTTATAAAAACCTTCCTAATTCCTGAGCTAAATTATTGCTAATGACTTATTCTATAAACTTATAGTTTCTTGTTATCTATACTACACTTTTGTTGTCCTTTTGTCTATGTTTTCCTCACTAGTAATGTCCTTCCTGTAATCTCTCTCCTGTCTCTTTTCACTCGAACTCTCCTCTATTTTGTCTTGTTCTCCTTCTGTGTCCTACTCCACTCCATTGACTGCCACTGTCTGAATCACCTCCCTAGCTCGTACTGCTCCTTTCCTTTTCTAAATGGTTACGACAATTCAAAATGATGTTTTACTAACCTGACAGTATTATGATTATATGGAGTTCTCTGTCAATTTAGACTTCACCCTAATGTCCTTTCTGCCAAATATCTTCTTTCCTATTTCCTGACTTTCACTGTTCTCTTCTTTCTTTATTGTTTTTTAAATATCCCACAATAACTTTGTGCTTGATTACTTTTCGTTAATACTCTTCTCCTCCTCAACACTTGTCTTTTTCTTGGTAGTTCATATGATTTTCTTTTGATCTTCTGTATTTTATTGCACTTCTTCTTATTTTAAACTTCTTTTAATTGCTATGATTTGTATACCTTCTAATTCCTCTTTTTACTTCTTGATTCTCCTCCTATTTATTTCTGTCTCCTTGAACACCACCTTTTTTTATCATTTTCTTTCTCACCGCTCTCTTATATCTAATTACAATGTTTATTAATATATCGTTTTCAATCTCAACCAATCAGATTAATTTATAATTTATACATTTTTAGTTTACCATTTTTAATACCATTTTATTATTATTTAACTACATTACATTATTTTGTGGACACTTTTTATTCCTTTATACTGAGAATTCAATATAATTTTCGTATCATTATACACTGTCACTTTTCATCCCGCTGTCACCCAAATTATCCTTACTATTTTGTCACCATATATCCATATGCCATTACTTGTTGTATTTTAACTTGATTAAAAACTCTTAAATAATTTCGATGTTTCAACAAACTTAAATTTGTTGTTTTTTAAATTTGACTGTAAGCGCATGTTATATAGATATTTCGTGCACAATTTTTAGTATCACATTTTCCAAATTCAGGAAACTACAATAGTTATCCTAAAGAAGAAAATATTTACTTTGTTTATTATTTGGCTTAAAAATGTTGAAATAGTCGTAGGGAACCTTGATACCATTGATACCATGATACCTTGATATCATTCGAAACCGACTTATTTGAAATTAACTAAACTCGGCATTATATTTCTAGCACCTTGTATGCAATTAAGCCACTTTGAATGTATGGATGGGAAGCTTAGGGGTCTAGCTATCCCCCCCTATAAATATTGTTGCTTTATCTTTCGTACTATAAAATACACATGGTTTGAGGCTAATCACTGTTTCTCTCCATTTTTTTGAAAAAACGGTTAATTTTACGAATAGGGAAACTTCATAAAAGTCCACCTAAAATAAATGATAATTTTGAAAGTAGAAATTAAAGTAAATAGTAGACTATTTAGTTATAAAGTATTTTTTTCAGGTGGTGAAGGCACGGGTGGAGGATTTGGTGTTGGAATAGGCTCAGGTGGTGGTGGAGGAGAGGGAAGAGGATTCGGAGGTAATAAATAATATATTAAAAAGCTAATTCTAAAATAATTATAATTTACTAAATTCCATATCGACTGTCGAACTCGGTATCACTGTTTCAAAGGTCGCCATAAGAAAGACTGGAATTAAAAATATTGTAATATACAACTTGTAATAGCGGTTTTGCAACTAACGATCACTGCTGATTATTATTATTCTCGCAATAAGTAAACAAAGACAAAAGTATGACTTTTTGCAAATGACTCTTTTCGAAAATAGAACATAAAATACAGACGAAAATCAATCCAGTTTAATATTTTGTACGCAGACTAGGTGTAGAAATTAAAGCGAAATAATTAGCTTTCATCTATGGTCTAGTGCTCCTAGCATCATTGCAAAGGTTTTTGCACATGAACCATTTTGATTGGAATTAATTTACCTAAGTCTCTAAAATAACACTCCCTTCAGTCTAATACTTTTTAATGTATAAAACCACCGTACCAAGTTTAGAGAATGTGTCTCCAATAAAGCTGTTATTGAATAGTTTATCAAAACTTATGTTTCTTCTTTGAAGGATGATAGTCCTTAGAAAGAAAATTGATAGCTTGTCTCGAAATTCATGATACATCTTGTACGTAAGTAGCTACGGTTATAGTGTATAGTGTAACATAACAAATATCGATCTTAATAAATTATTTTTCCTATTTGTTCACAATAATTAAAACTATATGTGAAAGAACCTATTCGAAGTAATCCAACTTACATCGATAATAATTAACGTCGAGTATTACAGGTATACTTTGATTAATAGCCAGTTGCTTTAGTTTCAAATAATTCAAAATTCATGATATAGATATGATATGACATACAGGGTGTGCCATTTAACACTCCCGCTGCCAATATCTTTGAAATGAAATTTATTTTAGTTTCGGAAACTGGGGTTGTTAGGACTTTCAAATAGCTTCAAATTGCAGTTAGAATTGTTAGTTCAAATCTTTTTGTGTAGATGGCGTGGCGATACTAAAAAAGTTTTTGATTCCTGCAACGTGGAAATGGTCCATCTGAAAGATCGTTAAATTTTGAGTAATATAAAGTTTTTACCAATATTTACTTGTTACACATTATATACTAACTAACAAACATAAAATTATAAAAAATAAATGACCCACTACAGAAAAACACATTGTACAATGATAAATTTTATAAGGGGCAGAGACGAACTGTATTTTATCAATTTATCAACTACGGCGGTTTTAGATCGTGACAATTTATTAAGAGCTTGTATGTTGAAGCACGTAATTTTGAACATTTATTATAATCTTTGTTTAAACTTATTTCAGTAACTACATCTACATCTCCGTTATTATTTTAAATACTTTCTGTTACTTTTTCTGTAGTTGATCATTTGTATTTTTATAATTTATTGTCTGTTAGTTAGTAAGTGGTGTGAAAAAAAACCATTACAACAATATTTTAAAAGAATATTTTGTCTCAGTGTGCTTTAAATAAAATAATGGATTTTCCTGTTACATCGTACATTGCATATTGAAGTCTACATGTTTTCAAAACAAGTAAATATTGGTTAAAACTTTATATTACAAAAATTTCTCAAAATTTAACGATTTTTCAGATGGGCCACATTTCCATGTTGGAGGAATCAAAAATTTTTTTAGTATCACCACGCCATCTATACAGAAATATTTGAAGTAATAATTCTAACTGCAGTTTGAAGCTTTTCGAGGGACCTAACAACCCCAGTTTCCGGAACTAAAACAGATTTTTTCATTTTGGAGATATTGGCAGCGGGAGTGTTAAATGGCACACCCTGTATATATTTTTTTGTCAGAATCAGAATTACAATCCATACAATATTTGTTATAAAGATAGAATTCCAAGAAAAGAATAAGCCAATAAAGTTCTATTATCGTAATTTCTATAACAATTTACCACAGAAGGTGAGGGACTTGAAATTTTCATCGTTATTTTTAGTATATTAAAATATACTTAAGGTAATAATACATATATAAAGTAAATTTTTTGGATTAAAATGTGTAAAATTCTCCATATAGTGGCTAAAAATACTCCTATAGCAGATACAACACGGTTTTTTAATTGTATTTTATTTTCGTTTGGACAAATTGTCTTGAAATAATTATATTCGTTATAACACGATACTCTTCGACTGGAAATTAAATTCCTTTCTTTTTCGCCTACATTGATTTATTTTGATAAAAAATTACACTGGAAACGCACAAGACGATACGCTTACGAAGAAACACGTCTTCGTAACTGCAAAACACAGTATGTACTGCAAACTGCTACGGTGAAAGCCACGCTGCCAATGTCTTTCTACCTCGGGTGTCGAATGCGGCAAGAAAGTGAAGCAGGGGTCTCCTTGCAATTCTATCTCAACAAATATCGTACGGACTGTATTAATATTAATTAAATATTTATAAATATAAATATTAAATATTTTCTAAAACGAAATAGTTTATATTAGGTGGCGTTGGAGGAGATTTTGTTGGTGGTACAGGATTTGGACAAGGCGTAGGATTTGGGCAAGGAGGTAAGTCATTACTACTCATAGTCCATTGAAAAGTTACATTTAGGGTTGCAAAAGTCAGAGCACGCAATTTTATTTTTTGGATGTCAAGAAGGGGTTAGTGTAAAGTTAAATCCATCTTTGTGGGGTAGCAACCCTTGTGCATCGGCCGCCATCTTGTAAAAAGGGCTGCGAATGGTTTTTATACTACTACTTACTATATCGGGCAAACCATTTGTCGCGCAGAAAATTTGTAAATATATTTTTTGTTGCAAATTCTCTACGTAACTCTTAGTCGTAGAACCAAAAATAACAAAGTTAATAACGAACATAGATACAAATTTGGGAACGAATTTATTTTGGTCGTTATAACTTTTTTTCTGGTCATTTTACAAAAAAATTACATCAGAGCATTTCTATAGAGGGGTTTTCAAGAAATAATTTCCATTACAAATTTTTTTCAAATTTTATTTTTTTATTAGAGTTTTACAGCAATGCGAAACTTACACTATTCTCTAGTACTAGTAAGTATACATTAATACGAATGATTAGGCATAGGAGGTGTCCTTCAAAGTTTTCTTCCAGTTGTGCTATCACGTTCGTACGTGACGTATTTAATTGTGAAAAGTATTTTGAGTTTTGTGGACATTATTTTGAATTTTTTAGGCAAGAGGTGGGTTTCAGTGTCGACCAAGCAGAATCAGATGCAGATACCCTTATCGTTCGCTCCGCTCTTGCTGTATCCCATTCGTTCGATTCAGTCACTATTGTCGCCGAAGATATCGACATTCTTGTCTTGCTCACGGCATTTGTAAGAACACATTCAAATGTATTTAATTAAACCGTCAAAAGGACGTAGAGCCGAACAATTATATTGACCGTCAAGAGACACGTCCTGAGTTAGCTAGTGGAACAGAGTTATTCCTCAATGAGAGAGTCGACCCTACTTTGCTCACTGCCGTTGGCGAACATTTTTTCATCTCTTTATATGGCGACAATAAAGATGATGATTTTCTTGACAGTCTTAGATATAAACGATTTGCCAAGTCAGTGACAAATAATACATTTAATTTGTCTTCACTTCCTCCAACACAAGACACAGCCCGCTTGCACATATTTTATTTTTCCGAGTCTATCATCAGGTCCACTTGTGGCTCGGGAATTACATCGACCCTCAAGACTGGGTCTGGAAAAAGTATGGACAAATATTGATGCCTGTTCAAAGTTCAAAACCTCTAGCACCCCTTGAGCTTCTAAAGTTGATATTCTGCCGATCCAAAGGAAACTGTGGAGCAATGTGTGGATGTCGGAAGGCATGCCCAAATGTTCTGCAGTGTGCCTGAATTGTTCTGGGAAGACATGCAGCAACATAATGAAGATATCAAAATTGATCGAGGAGAATGATTTTGAAGATGAACTGCCAACAATGACGCCACTTCATTCTCCATCCTTCCTCAACAATTCAATATCGGAAGCTCAACCAGATTCTGAGTCGCAGCCTGGCCCATCAAAGAGACTGAGGACACAGGAAATATATTTCGATATTTTTAATTACACTAATTATTCTGTCAGCTAGAAAATGTCCGTGGATTCTGCTTACTAGGGATACGACGTAAAAAAAAACGCGCCACCAGACTCTACCTCGTAGGTGGTGGGGAAAAGAGTCAATAACTAATTAACAACATTGCAATGTCAATCATTAAAATGTTTCTTATAAATATAATGGAAAGATGAGAGAAAACTATGCCTAATCAATCATATTAATGTATACTTACTAGTACTGGAGCATAGTGTAAGTTTAGCATCACTGTAAAACCCTAATAAATAAATCAAATTTGAAAAAAGTTTGTAATGGAAATTATTCCTTGAAAACCCCTCTATCAAAATGCTCTGATGTAATTTTTTTGTAAAATGACCAGAAAAAAAGTTATAACGACCAAAAGAAAATTCGTCTCCAAATTTTTATCTGTTTTTGTTAATAACTTTGTTATTGTTGGTTCTACGACTAAAAGTTACGGTACTACATTTGTAGAGAATTTAATTTGCAACAAAAAATGTATTTACAAATTTTCTATGCGGCGAATAGTTTGCCCGATATAGTAAGTAGTAGTATAAAAACTATTCGCAGCCATTTTTACAAGATGGCGGCCGATGCACAAGGGTTGCGACCCCACAAACATTTGATAACATGATTTAACTTTACACTAACCCCCTTATTGACATCTAAAAAATAAAATTGCGTGCTCCGACTTTTGCACGCTAAACCTAAAAAAATGTAACATTTCAATGGACTATCATACTATTTGGATTAGTGATTTTTTTGACAAAAACAAACACTATATCAACATAAATCTGTTAAAACAAAGGTACACAACCCGCTTTATGCGAGGTACACACATCAATACTATCCTTATTACAAGAAATTAATTAATAAAAAATATATTCAGATGGTGAAGGACTTGGTATTGGATTAGGTTTAGGTGCTGGCGGCGGTAGAGGAGGAGGAAAAGGATTTGGAGGTAATATGTTTGAATTAAAAAAAAAACATTCTAAATAATTATATAATAAGTTATAATTATATAATAAGTTATTTCCAAAATTTTACAAAAATATTTGAATCTCTTAAAGATAATTTATTTTAGGTGGAGCTGGTGGTGGTTTTGGTAGTGGAGAAGGATTCGGTGAAGGCGCAGGATTTGGACAAGGAGCAGGCATTGGACAAGGAAGTAAGTTACTGAAGCTCATTTTTTATATGAACCTATTGTTGGTATAAATAACTGTTTAATTATTTATTGAGGATTCTTTATTGATGAGTTTTTTCAGTTGGAGGAGGTTCAGGTAGTGGAGAAGGATTTGGTGAAGGATTAGGACAAGGAAGTAAGTTAGTGCTTGAAACTTAAATATTTTCAAATATTGAATAAGCAGAGTTACATAGACCTTAATAAACATTTGAATAAAGAGAGATATAAAACCCTAATAAAAAATTATTTCAGGTGGTATTGGAGGAGGATTTGGAGGAGGTATAGGAATCGGCGGAGGAGGTATGATTTCTTGATTTCTGATCAGATATTTAAGGCTCATTTACAAAGCATGTCGGTGTCTTTTTTATTAACAGTAACGTATTTCAGGTGGAAAAGGATTTGGAGAAGGAGCAGGATTAGGGCAAGGAGGTAAGATACTGAAGCTCTTTTTTTGTGAACTTATGTATTAAATTATTGTTGGTATAAATAACTGATTAATTATTTACTAAGGATTCTTTATCGATGACTTTTTTCAGTTGGAGGAGGTTCAGGTGGTGGAGAAGGATTTGGTGACGGGGCAGGATTCGGACAAGGAAGTAAGTTGGTGCTAGAAAGTACGAAATATTTTCAAAAATTGAATAAGCAGTTATATAGACCTTTATAAACATTTGAATAAAGAGAGATATAAAACCCTAATAAAAAATTATTTCAGGTGGTATTGGAGGAGGATTAGGAGGAGGTATAGGAATCGGTGGTGGAGGTATGATTTCTTGATTTCTGATCAGATATTTAAGGCTCATTTACAAAGCATGTCGGTGTCTTTTTTATTAACAATGACGTATTTCAGGTGGAAAAGGATTTGGAGAAGGAGCAGGATTAGGACAAGGAGGTAAGATACTGAAGCTCTTTTTTGTGAACTTATGTTAAATTATTATTGGCATAAATAACTGATTAATTATTTACTAAGGATTCTTTATCGATGACTTTTTTCAGTTGGAGGAGGTTCAGGTGATGGAGAAGGATTTGGTGACGGGACAGGATTAGGACAAGGAAGTAAGTTGGTGCTAGAAACTACGAAATATTTTCAAAAATTGAATAAGCAGAGTTATATCGACGTTTATAAATCTTTAAGTAAACAGAGATAGAAATCCCTAATAAAAAATTATTTCAGGCGGTATTGGTGGAGGATTGGGAGGAGGTGTAGGGATTGGCGAAGGAGGTATGATTTCTTGGTTTCTGAACGGATATTTAAGGCTCATTTACAAAATATGTTGGTGTGCTTCATAAGAAGTTAATAATAACAATAACATATTTCAGGTGGAAAAGGATTTGGAGATGGAGGAGGATTAGGACAAGGAGGTAAGATACTGAAGCTCATTTTTTATGTGAACTTATATATTAACTTATTGTTGGTATAAATAACTGATTAATTATTTACTAAGGATTCTTTACCAATGACTTTTTTCAGTTGGAGGAGGTTCAGATGGTGGAGAAGGATTTGGTGAAGGAACAGGATTAGGACAAGGAAGTAAGTTCGTGCTGGAAACTGCGAAATATTTTCAAAAATTGAATAAGTAGAGTTACATCGACGTTTATAAGTCTTTAAATAAACATAGATAGAAATCCCTAATAAAAAATTATTTCAGGTGGTATTGGAGGAGGATTAGGAGGAGGTGTAGGTATTGACGGAGGAGGTATGATTTCTTGATTTCTGGATAGATATTAAAGACTCATTTATAAAACATGTTGGTGACCTTCCTATTAAAAATAACATATTTCAGGTGGCAAAGGATTTGGAGAAGGAGCAGGATTAGAACAAGGAGGTAAGATGCTGAAGTTCATTTTTTATGTGAACTTATGTATTAACTTATTGTTGCTATAAACAACTGATTAATCATTTACTATGGATTCTTTATCGATGACTTTTTTCAGTTGGAAGAGGTTCAGGTGGTGGAGAAGGATTTGGTGAAGGGGCAGGATTAGGACAAGGAAGTAAGTTAGTGCTGGAAACTACGAAATATTTTCAAAAATTGAATAAGCAGAGTTATATTGACGTTTATAAACCTTTAAATAGAGAGATAGAAACCCTAATAAAAAAATTATTTCAGGTGTTATTGGAGGAGGATTGGGAGGAGGTGTAGGAATTGGCGGAGGAGGTATGATTTCTTGATTTCTAAGCGGATATTTAAGGCTTATTTACAAAACATGTTGGTGTCCTTCTTATTAACAATATGTAACATATTTCAGGTGGAAAAGGATTTGGAGAAGGAGCAGGATTAGGACAAGGAGGTAAGATACTGAAGCTCATTTATTATGTAAACTTATATATTAACATATTATTGGTATAAATAACTGATTAATTATTTACTAAGGATTCTTTATCGATTACTTTTTTCAGTTGGAGGAGGTTCAGGTGGTGGAGAAGGATTTGGTGAAGGAGCAGGATTAGGACAAGGAAGTAAGTTAGTGTTGGAAATTACGAAATTGAATGAGCAGAATTATATAGCCATTTATAAACCTTTAAATAAAAAGAGATATAAAAAACTAATAAAAAATTATTTCAGGTGGTACTGGAGGAGGATTGGGAGGAGGTGTAGGAATTAGCGGGGGAGGTAAGACTTTTTGATTGAAATATATATTTAATTCACAATGACATAATAATTCTTGTGTTTCTTATTAACAATATTGTATTTTAGGTGGAAAAGGATTTGGTGAAGGCGCAGGAGTAGGGCAAGGCGGTAAGAAACTGAAGCTTATAATTTATTTAATATAAACTGAAAAATTCGTTCATTATTAATATTAACTTATTTGATTTTCAATTATTCTTTATGAATGATATTTTTAGGTAGAGGAGGCTTAGGTGGTGGAGAAGGATTTGGTGAAGGAGCAGGATTAGGACAAGGAAGTAAGTTACTGGAACTATGAAATATTTCCCAAAATCATATCTGAGGATTTCAAGCTTTAATAAAGAAAGGTAGAGAATCCTAATAAAAGATTATTTCAGGTGGCGTTGGAGGAGGATTGGGAGGAGGTGTTGGTATTGGCGGGGGAGGTAAGATTTCTTGATCTCACAACAGATACTTCAAAATTAAATATGCAATAGTAGTACTTAAAACACTTAAATAAAGAGAGGTGGAAGATATCAATAAAAATAATTTCAGGTGGCATTGGAGGAGGATTGGGAAGTGGCGTTGGAATTGGAGGGGGAGGTAAGATTTCTTTATTCGCAATTGATATTTAGGTAGTAACACAATAATTGGTGTCCTTTTTAATAACAATAACCTATTTTAGACGGGAAAGGATTTGGTGAAAGTGCAGGATTAGAGCAAGGAGGTAAGAAACTAAAACTCATAACTTGTATAGTGTACTCTTGAAAATTAACCTATTATTAGTCTAGAAAGTTCTTTACTGATCATATTTTTAGATGGAGGTGGTGCAGGTAGTGGAGAAGGATTTGGTGAGGGAGCAGGATTAGGACAAGGAAGTAAGTCATTAGAAACGGCAAAGTTTTTTCAATGATTACATAAGCAGTAGATATAAGGGTTTCGAATAGAAAGAGCCTAATAAAAAATCATTTTAGGTGGCATTGGAGGAGGATTGGGAGGTGGCGTAGGAACTGGCGCGGGAGGTAAGATTTCTTGATTTTTGAATATATACTTAAGCATCAATGACAAAATAATCCTGGGGTTTTATTAGTAATAACAATCAGAATCAGAATCCTGGAAATATGTGAATAAAGTAAAACGTAATTCAGTCAATAATAAATAGTGATATAGAGAGTTCAAGTAAATGCAAATGAAGAAGTAGTTAGCACTTAGAAATTCTTTATAAAATATTTTTTAGGGGGTAGTGGAGGAGGCTCGGGAAGTGGTAAAGGAGTAGCAGGCAAGTTATTGACAAATATTTTAAACACCAAATTATTCATATATTAAAACTAATTCTGAATAAGAATTAGGAAATTTATATATACGGGATATTTTAGGTGGAGAAGGAGGGGGTTCAGGAATTGGAGGAGGATTTGGCGAAGGTAGTGGATTTGGAGAAGGAAGTGAGTTACATCAGTTTCTGCTAGTGTTTTTTGCAGATAATAGCTTAATAATTTATAATTACAATTTTAGATGGAGTTGGAGGAGGATTAGATGTCGGAACAGGAATTGGTGAAGGCATTGGAGGTAAGCCTTTGAGAGATTTCTTTGTTTTTTTCGTTTAAATATGCTGCTATCTCAGTTATAGTCCTTAGAGTTGTTATATAGAGATACCCTATTGTAGGTGGACAAGGAGGTGGTTCAGGTAGTGGGGGAGGATTTGGAAAAGGAGGTGAATAATGGACAATTGTTCATAACCTAGAAAATAAGAATCAGCTTCAATTTATTACTATTTTAGGTGGCATTGGTGAAGGATTGGGTGGTGGTTCAGGCAGCGGATTTGGACAAGGAGGTAAGAGTTTTCTATCAACAAATAGTTTACGCCTAATTATAAACTTAAAATGCCGGTAACAATAATTATAAATGAGTTGGTTCTATAAGTAAAAGACTTATGTTGGAATAACCTCTTCATTTAGGTGGATTTGGAGGAGGTTCCGGAGGTGGTCAAGGAGCAGGATTTGGACAAGGAGGTAAGTTTTCGATAAAATCACACTCGAAGGATTATATTGTAAAAGAAAAAATGCACTGTATGTATTTACTTGATCAAATTAAATATCTGTTTATTTAAAACAATGGCAAACTCTCCTATTTACACAATAAATACATAGAAAAACACAAAAGTTCCGCTTATATTCTCCATGAAAATGAGACTGGTATTATTTCGAATCGTTGATATATAAAATAGTACTTTATGATGTTTTTACTATGCCTAGCCGAAACAAATTTCAGCTTTTAACTTGTTATAGTCTGTAGGAGATAAAAGAGCCTGATATAATTTATTTGTGGAATTATTTTAGTTTTTGCTGTGACAAAATGTAAAAATTTTAGTTATCCAAAAATAATCTTACAAAAACAATTAACCGATTCTTTTGGCGCAATAAATAATTTATTTTTGAATATCTTCACAAGTGGTAATATATTTATATAAACGATTAATTAATTTTATCATTAACAATTTAGTTGGTTCTGGAGGAGTATCCGGTATAGGTTTAGGCTCTGGATTTGGAATAGGCGCTGGTGCCGCTAAAGGTGGTGGCTTCGGATTGGGCTCCGGATTAGGCCTAGGAATTGGAGGAGGGAAAGGAGGAGGTTTGGACTTGGGCAATGGATTGGGTCTAGGAATAGGAGCAGGAAGTAAATTTCTTTTACTATAAAATATTGTACAAGTGTTTGTCTACTTTTTCAGAGATTTTTTAGTTAAACAAAACTATTTTCATAAAAATAATCCTTGACAAGGGTCTATTCCATTAATTTTAAAACTTTTTCGCAGGTGGCAAAATACCTAAAAAATAAATTAGTACAGTCATTGAAGCTGAAAATCAGCTGTAACCTCCTAATTCTTTGAAACTGCTTGGATTTTCAAGAAAATTTAGAATAAGGTTCATCTTAGACTCAAGTTCAAAAGTGACATAAGCCCGATTGAAACTTTTTGTTTTTTAGGGGTAAAAACTACCCTTAAGTGAAAAAAATTGAAAAAATTAAGTTTTAAGCATTTTATGATAATAATCTTGTTCAAGCACTCTATTTTACTTTTGCAATTTTCAACTCCTATAAACTACCCTTTTACCAATATTATTGTAAAATATTTTTATTATAATCGATTTTTAAATATAATCAATAAAAAAAATTGCTACGGGCACTTGAATCCCAACATTTTGTTCCAAAAATGAGAAGCATAGTTTGCTCCAAAAAAATGTCATTGGTTTTTTTGCCATAACTTGGTTAATTTTGAAGCCATAGTATCCTACAAAAAAGCATTTTAAAGATAATTTCAAGAGCTGTAAGATCGCTTGCATATAAAACCTTTTAAGTCCTTCGTTTTTTAAAGGAAAAGGATCGAAGGGCTTGACACAGGTCGTTTTTTCACTAAAATGGATACCTACTTCTAGCGGCGATATCCCCTTTATTTTTTACGCTATGGGAATAAAAAAGCAAAATATTTGTTGAAAAAAAGCTACATTTTTGTTGTCTATCATTTTTACGTATCTTTCATAGTTTCAGAGTTACTATATAAATAAGGCAATTTTTTTGAATAATGAAAAATACGTTTTCAACTTTTACCGTAGATTATTAAAAAAATACGCATTCTAAACCGGTCTAACTTCAGGATCGTATGAAAAACACTAAAACAAAACTAATTGCATAGGGTCTACGATTAATTTTATTTCTGAAAAATATGAGCAACCCATCTGTTTTTGACGATAACTCCTTCAATTTTGCTCTAATTAACTTTTATAAGTGCTCATTTTAAAGGTATTTTTGAGTACAACAAAAAACTCCTGGATCGTTATACACGTAAAATTAATCCTTTTTCCGTTATTTGACGTTGAATACATTCGAGTATTCCTCCCAAAACAAGTCCCCTTCCACTAACCATATTTCGCTTTGTATAGGACATAAAAAACTTTTTAAAAAACGATTTTCTTTGTTTATTTATAAGCTACATTTTTGTTCATTACACTTTTTTAATAAAATGCGTAGTTTTTGAGTTATTCGCGAAAAATACTTTGAAAAAGTGTTTTTTTATCACTCAAAATTCCAAGTTTTCAATCGTGAATAACTAAAAAACTACTGATTTCTCGAAAAAATTCTTCGAATGTTTTTTGCTCAAAATTTTATTCCCTATTGATTCCCAGTGTTATTTTGAAAAAAAATCAACCCCCCCCCCCCCCCGAGAAGGGGTGCCAACCCCCAACAGGGTAGAAGCGTCAATCGGCGCTATGTCACTAATGTTCATTGACCTTTTCTCTATCTGCCAAATTTCAAGTCGTTCGGTTCAGTTTCAAAGAATTCGGAGGTGAAAAGCTTCAATGACTGTACTAAATAGAAAAAAAAAATGAAAACTATGCCACAAATAAATAACTTCAGATAATATCGTACTGCGGTATTTGACAATATATTGATCATTACTTTTTTTATAGGTGGATTTGGAGGAGGGTCGGGCGGAGGATCTGGGTTTGGATCAGGCTTAGGTATTGGTGTTGGAGAAGGAAGAGGTTTTGGAGGAGGAAAAGGAGGTATTAACGTTGTTTAGAAATATTTATTAAAAGGAGTCATATGGAACTTGCTGATATGGAAAAACATTTTTCTAAAAGAATAATCTATAGAACATCTAAAATATTGCAGAGATTTCAATGATAGGGAAACGAATATCAGATTACTAAGTATCTGCTAATTTCTGTAGAGCGTAACATTACTACTTTCTATAATTTTTTTCCTTATGTTCCTCCTAATGAAAATATCGGACCCCAAATGAGGCATACAATTTTACGTTTTGGGTTCTAATTTTTAAACCACCTTAAAACCACCAGAAATGGTCCGGCCCTCGCAACCTACCCCATTATTTTAAGATTTTGAAAGAAAAGTATTTATTTCGATCATTGGAACCATTTTAGAGATAAATCGGTTTATGGGCAATAACAACTAGAGTTTAATTTCTTACAAGTTATTTCATGCATTTATTTTTTTAACTGTACCAAAAGTATTTGAAATAACTTAACAGACACAAATTAAGGATTAAAAATAAAATGTTGAAAATAAGTAACATGCACGATTGTGTATCATTTCATTTAAGTCTTTAGTACCTCAATACTTATCAAAGGCTTTTGGTGATCAATAGATAGAATGAGGCAGGCCTGTTTTATGGGCACCTAGGTCACCCGACTTAAATCCATTAAACTTTTTTCTGCGGGGTCATCCGAAATGTCATTTCATGTGCACTGGGAAAATATTCGCATATTCACATGTACCTCTTGTCATTTTGCATTATAATGTATTTTTTTTTAACTTTAACATACGTTTCTCTAAAGCTATGGCCAATGATTCCAAGATTTTTGGACTTTCGCAAAGTTAAATGGACTAAATACATTTTTAAAGAAAAAAACTTAAACTTGACTTAAAGTTAAAATATACCCAAAACGTAAATCTCTAGGTACGTCTAGGGCGCAATATCCAGTTAGGAAAAAACCTATAGGAAGTTCAAATCTATTGTTATTCTCTCTAAACGCTTTGAAGACATTAGTGGTTACTTACCATACACCTGCATGTCATTAAAATCAAGATTGTAATACTAAAAGTAACTTCAGTGGTTATACACATACTTAACACTGATTATTGTTATTTTAGTTGGAATTGGTGGAGGAGGAGGATCTGGAATAGGAGGAGGCTTTGGAATCGGAATAGGCGGAGGTGGATTTGGCATCAAGGCTTAAATGGTTGATAGAAATCCAAATAAGATTATCATGTAAATAAACCGTAATAATAAATTATTGTTATCTAACATCGTTTCTTATGTCAGTCAGCGAGCCAAAGTATTGATGCTACTGGAAACACGAATAATGTTGAATTGTGTCTAATTGTACTATTTCCGAAGTCAGTTGAACATGTAAAAAACGCCTGGCAGTAAAATTTGATAAGTTTCATAGACGTCCCTAAAAAAGTTTTCTGTTGAAGGTAAAAAATTATAATAATTTGTATATAATGTGTAGAAAATTTCTATTATGTGTTCATTTGACCAAAAACATTTTAATTATTTATATCCTCAAACAATTTTATTATAATGATGGTAAATTTCGTTTTGTTTCGTTTCAAAAGGTCTCCAAAGTGCCATGCTGTAATAATATTAGTAAACAAAATATCTCCCTTATTTCTCCCTTTGGCAATTGTAATATGAGTGCCTATAATAAATTAAAATTGCCTGAATTACACCAAATTCCGCATTGCTGCACTGCACTGCTAAGCCATTTATTGACAACTGAATTTATGGCTAGAGCGCCTAGTGCGGCTGTGTTTGTGCCGCGTTTGCCCGCGCTCTCATTTTCAAATATTTCAGTGCTGAGTTGCTGCGACTGCGACCGAACCTGGTACATACTATCATCCTCTTGGTTCTTCAATTGATATCGGAAAGACTAGACCATACTTAAAAGTAATGCTAATGCACAATTCAGATCCTGCATTACCTGGAATTTAGAAATACTTAACTCACTTATGAAACGACAGCTATGCACCGGAATGTCGTGGATCAGCGCACAATGCAAATACAAATGCCAACCAAAGGGCTCAATTTCCAGCTTCGGAGTTTCTTCTACAGAAGAGAATAATATGGCTCTCGAAAGACCAATAAATGTATACCGATGATATCGCAAGCGATCCAGAAATTATTATGCAACTACTACGGAATTTTGCAAACCGAGCTAAACATTATGAACTGCAAAGTTCATTAGCGCTTTGAATGTTTCCCATAATACATTTTTTTAACCGAAACAAATGAATATACTATTGAATGGGAAGCATTAAAAGTATCATTAAGAACGGTCCGGTATGTACGCAATCTATTGATTCGCAAACCCATCGAAAAAATAACCATGTGAAAGATCTCTGACATACAAGGAATTTTCGTAGAAAATGATGCAAAAAACATAAAATCCAGTGACATAAGAAACAAAACTCGTTTAAATGAACCATTTAAAATCAATTCGATCGCACTCTATGGATTAAATTGCAGATTCTTATCTTTAGTTGGGTGTTGGATCGATAAATAATAACGACGGTTCTACTCTGATTCCAATCGATGAAACAAATATAGGCATAGTGCGAGTTTCAAGGTAGTTCTAATTAAGAACGACTCCCTGGTGAAGTTTTAATTAAATAAACGGTTATAAAACCAACAAATGAATTGCCCGTTTAATAACGATAATTGTGTCTTATGTTAGTTCATGGAAGATCTCCATTTCGACTTGCTATAATTACAGGCTACACCTGAGAGTGTACGTGACACGATCGCTAATCACCATATAATTTAATTACGCCTTTTTGTGAAAACAGGCACGAATTGATATACAGGGTGTTTCAGAAAGACCTCCCGTAAATTAAGGACTGATAGTACGACAACAAATAAGAATTTTTTGTCTTATGAACTATATGTCTATCTCCTCTTGTTTCCGAGATACAGAGCGACAAAATAAAAAATTTTTAATAGAATTTTTACGAAAATTTCCAAATGGTGCGAAATATTTTTATGAAATTTGGTATTCCGGGGTTTTTAAGGACGCCAAATACGCTGGTCTAATTATTTTTTGTATATTTTATAGAAGGCGCCAGTTATGCTACATTCGTATTACATTTTGTTCTAATTTTTTTGAGGTTAGGTTTTTTCGGGCTCCAATTTCTAATGTACAATTTTATTTTCTAAAAATAATGTACTCTTGTTAGAACTTCCTAATGTGGACGGTTTTCAAGAAAAAAGGCTTCTAATAACTCTAATTAACTTTATATCAATTTTAGTGACTGTAGTTAGTCATTACTAACTACAGTCACTAAAATTTTGATATAAAGTTAATTAGAGTTTAAAATTTGACTGAGAATGTATGCGTTGTTTATGAGACATCCATCAATAAGTTTTGACATGTCTACTTTGAGAAAAGTCACTTATTTTCTTCACCGTAATATTGTATGAGTTCAATTAAAAGCCTTTTTTCTCGAAAAGCGTCCACATTAGGAAGTCTAACAAGAGTACATTATTTTTAGAAAATAATATTGTACATTAGAAATTGGAGCCCGAATGGTAAAAAACGTAACCTTAAAAAAATTACAACCTAAAATGTAATAGGATTGTAGCATCCTAAAAATCCCGGAATACCAAATTTCATAAAAATATTTCGTACCGTTAGGAAATTTCCTAAAAATTGCAGTTAAAAAATTTAATTTTGTCGCTCTGTATCTCGAAAACAAGAGGAGATAGACATATAGTTCATAACAAAAAAAAATATTTTTTGTCGTACTATCACCCCCTGAATTTACGGGAGGTCTCTCTGAAACACCCTGTATTCTATAGATGTACGAGTACACGAAAATTCTTAATAGTCCAAGCGATAGAGCAGTAAAAGTAGGCTTTGGCGTTTGTGTTTGAAGTAATCTATTTTGTTGTACAGAAAAATCCCAAATATTATGTAGAATTAGAATCTGAGTTTGCCTATTTCAAAAAATCGTTGCTAAATTTAGGGGAACAACAAACATACAAAGAACGAAAAATGACCCGTTTTTAACCCTTGTAACATTGAAAGTAAGCCCTAAATAAAAAAAGCAATTCTTTATTTTTTGTTCATTTGACGATTTTCTATAAAGCTGGAATAAAATTTTTTATTGCAACTTTATTATTTTTATTAAAAATAAAAAATTTTAATTTTGCATTAACAGTGGGCGAAAAATAATAGAAAATTATATGTATATTTAGATAAATTTTTAAAATAAGTAAATATTATTTGGAAAGTAACACACTGTATCTCGAAAACAATGCGTCTAAAAAAAAAACTTTACATGAAGTACCCCTATTATTTTTCCATGAGGAACTTGCATACAAATTTTGTGAAACATGAACGGGACACCCTGTATATTTGGACTGATAAGAAATATGACTTAAGTTGCTGACTCGATAAGATGTTGTTGACATTTGCCTATAGTAATCCAAGGCATATTTTTTTAATTAATTATTATCTATGTTTAATTTCGAACAGCTTGGTTTATAATAGGATATAAAATTATACAGCTACGAGAGGAATCAGTTACAAGAACTCTGCTATTATGAAATGTTAATAAAGCAATTGCCAGTAGCTTGAATTATTGCAAAATAAATTGCTTGTTACGTATTAAGTGCAGATCTAAATATGTACGAAAAATCACCTGTATCATTAACAATTTCATAAACGAAGGTTCAAAACTATGTACGTAGTTCAGTAAGTTCGTTGGTAAGTAATAAGGTTTGATCCTTTTCTATTTTGTTAAAAAATTGTAATCGAATACTTTAATTTATATATACAGGGTGTTAATGAACTTAAAAACTCAAAAATTTAAAGGGGTGAAAAAGAGGACAAACTTGAATCGGAAGTTTAAGGTCATAGAGAAAAAAGCTAATTAAAAATATGTTGCAAAACTGTTTTGGAACTGCTGAAATGCATGAATTTTATCGCGGCGAGCACTTTTTACGAGTTTGTAGGACCGTTTTCGAAAGTCAGTTTGTAATGCATTGTTGTAGTGATCGCCGTGCTGTTTTTCGAGAGTACATTTAACAGCCGTATTTCCAAGTTTTCTTTTTAAAATGGCGCATTTATTTAGCAATCGCGAATATTATGATATGCTCATAATTTATGGCGAAGCAAACGAAAATACCTACAGAGCTTGTCAAGTGTACCGTGCAAGATATCCTGAAAGACGTGCCCCCACACCACGAACATTTGTTGCTGTATTTTGTACCGGTGGGTGTTTGAATATCCCCCTCCCTAATTAATGAAGTTTTCCAGGTTTCCCTCATACCAATGTGTCCTTTCTGGACGCACATGAGGTCTACTGAATAGTAACCTTCTCCCGTCAAGTCTTTGACTTCTAGGCTAATCCTTGCGATTAGAATGACAGGTAGAGATATTATTATTATCATCATTGTTGTTATTATTTCTAATTTGATTAGTTTCCATCGGAAAAATACTCAAAGAGCTTCTATACGGTTATTTCCTTAGAACACAGTGACATACACAGTAGTTTTTTAATTTCATATTTTAGAAAAAATGTCACTAAATAACCAAGCATCGAAATTATAATTTATTACTCTTACGACTATTTTAAGATTTACTTGTAGATATTTCAATATTTCAAAAGTTTTCAGAACCGTTTTTCAGATTTTTTCATTATGTTGTATTATTTTTTCAACAATATTTTTTTCTTTAAAATAAAAAATACATATTTATTTTATCCCCTATTCTCTCTAACTGTAGACATACTGTACATACATAGATAGACGTTCAGCTAACCGGTCGAAATATAAATTTTCATCTGAGTAAGAATAATATTTTGTGTTGATATTTGATGTACAAAACTGTATATAAGTTAGTGAAACCATCGTAACACCTTTAATGAATATGGTATACAAGAAGAGGTATTGCTTCTTCCTACAATTAATTGATGTTTGTATCCAAAACATTCAGTAACGCAGTATTCCAGCACATTTAGCCACTATTGCAAATTGTGCACACAATTTTAGCACCATCGTACCGCAGATCCTCAAAGTCGGCAATAAATTTGCGTACTTTATCAGCGAAAGGTCGTTTTTTACCCCTGGGTGCGTTCGACATAATTAGAATATTAAAACACGTGTACACAAAGCGAACGCGAACACAGAACACATGCCACTATTATCGATTTTGTACGGTGCACTGTAGTGAAAGGTCGACGCGACGGCTATGATCATCCGACCGAGTCCCGAGCTCTAATAACAAGTATTTGTTTGTCTAGAGCGACAATTCTTATAATTTTTTTTACACAAAGCTTATGTCATCGACCAGGAACTATGACAACATGAAATATATTTTAAAATTAATACTTTACAGTAATATCTGTCGTGTTCATTGAAATTTTACATCTTCGAATACGTTTTTGGCAGTATATTTTAAAAAAAATTAAAAGTAATTACGTCATTACATCACAAAGTGGCTTAAAACTATATGTATAACCATGAGAGTTTGACTTTTATTAACAATTAAATGTATACCTGCGTGGATTTTGTACACCTGTTTAGATTTTTTAAACTGCAAAAATTCCTACCAAATTAAAAATTTAGTTAAGTATTCAACACCTATACATAATTTAGGTAGAAGGAAGATATCAGGCACATGCAAATATTACGCTGTTGTGGAATTATATTTTTAAATCGAAAGAAGTAAGCAATCAGCCTTGAACTTTGGTAAATATAAAATATTTCCTAAAATTAAATAATCGCTTTGTGGTGTAGGATATGTGAAGCCTAACATCTCGGAATATATGATAGTGTTTGACTAGACTATTTTTGAGATGGATGCTTTAAAAGTAAGTCGTTACACTTTAACCATTTTATCTTAAAATACAACATATAAAATGAAAAAGTTAGTGAGAAGATTTTTAATAAACTATTGCATTATCATGTTCATGTTTAGTGCCCAGCTTAAGACGTCATTTCAAGTTTATATTAACAATAATAAAAAACATATCCTGTAGTATAGGTAAATTATTATAAATCCTGAATATAAATTATGGATAATATTATAAGATTTTAATTCTTCTTTGCTTTCTTTACAGACCTTTACAGTTTTGTGTTCTCTTCTACTAAGCTGTATCGCAAGACCTCCTGTATATACTCAGAACCATCCTCTCGCTAAACGGGAAGCACAAGGTATGTTCACATAAAAAAGTAAATGCACTTAGTTTATACGATATTTATTTAGGGATAAGTATTGTTTTTAAATTATTTTAATAGTCTGTTTATTGAGAATTTTATTTTTTCCAACAGTAGCCTTAGTTCTAATATACAGGGTGTTAAAAAAAGAGTGTAAAATATTTAAGGAGGTAATAGTATGAACCAAAATAAGCAGAAACGTCTCAATAAACATCGGTCCGCAAAGTAACGGTTGCGGAGATATGGAATGTTTTATGTTTTTAGACCCTTTTTTTATTTTGCAAAAACGTTGTGTATTTTCTTATAATAGTTGGTTGATGTTTAGTGAAATAAACAGTACGTATTTGACAGTTGTTATCAGTGCACAAGATTTCTTTCGCTATGGCTAGTTACTCTAACGCAGAATTAACAGACATGCATTTCATATATGGTCGTGCTAATGGGAACGCCACCGAAGCGCGACGTCTTTATGTTGACGCTTATCCAAATCGCCAGATTCCTTCACAACGCATGTTTGGAAGAATTCACCAAAGATTGCGTGTACCGGCTCCTTGAGCAAACAGTGCCATTTATCCGGAAGACCAAGGTCGGTATCCACTCCTAGAGCAGAAGAAGAAATTCTAGCACTGGTAGAGCAGAATCTAGGTACGAGTGTGCGGAGAATATCAGCCGAGGTAGGAATTAGTGGTCCTCTTGTTTGGAGAATCCTTCACGAGCAACTACTTTATCCATACCATGTGCAACGAGTACAGGCCTTAAATCCAATAAATGATCATCAAGCACGTTTGTTTTTTTGCCGCTGGTTTCTACGTCATGATGCTGAAGACCCTCGTTTTCTTGCAAACATTCTTTTTACTGATGAGGCCGGGTTCTCAAGAAATGGAGTGTTTAATTTTCACAATACGCATATTTGGGCCGACGAAAATCCTCATGCTCTAATAGAATCTGGACATCAGGCACGTTTTTCATTAAACATTTGGATGGGTATTGTAGGTGACAGGTTTCTAGGTCCTGTTGTTTTACCAAACCGATTAACAGGCGCTGCTTACCTCAACTTTCTGCAGAACACACTGTATGAGTTTTTGGAAAACATTCCTTTGAATCAGAGGCAACAAATGTGGTTCCAGTATGATGGTGCTCCAGCTCATTTTTCCATGGCCGTTAGAGAGCATTTACACCAAAAACTTTTCCACATAGATGGGTAGGAAGGGCCGGACCTGTTTTATGGCCTCCAAGATCGCCTGATCTGAACCCTCTAGATTTCTTTGTTTGGGGATATTGAAGACATTAGTGTATGGTACTCCTGTAAATAGCCTGGAAGAGCTGCAGCTACGGATTAATCAAAAGTGTCAAGAAATCCAAACCAAGGAGGGTGTTTTCGAAAGAGTTCGAATATCGTTGAGACGAAGATGTCGTGCCTGCTTGAAAATGGACGGAGGGCACTTTGAACATCTTCTGTAACTTTGTTTTTTGTTTGTTAAAGGCTTCCTTTGTCGGTTTATTCCTAATAAAATAAAATGTTTGAAAAACGAATAGTGGTCCATATCTCCGCAACCGTTACTTTGCGGACCCATGTTTATTAAGATTTTTCTGCTTATTTTGGTTCATATTATTACCTCCTGAAATATTTTACACTCTTTTTTTAACACCCTGCGTACACTGTGTCCCAAAATGATGGAACAAAATTCATATTTTTTTCCAGTTCAGATTTTAAAAAATCATGTCATGTTAGTTACTAAATAGATATTGTCACTTTTCTGCGGTATTTTCTATTTTTTGAGACACGTTTGAAATTTTTTTTAATAGAACTCTCTATGATTCAGTCATAATGTCATTAATTTTAATCACGTATTAGGATGACTTAATAAAGACAGAAAATTGAAAAAAATTTTTTACTCGACTTTTAAAAATGAAGGAAATCAACCCATAACTCCCGCTAAGAAGGCGGACCTGCCAGATGCCCGGATGCTCGGAAAATTTTGTAACGTAATGTCACGAACAAATCGTCAGCTGAAGCGAACAGCGTTGCCAAGTTCACATCATAATCTGTGTTCACATTTAATTAATCCGCTTTAGTATACGGATACATATGTATGAAACCAATAAAATGCAAGTAAATAAAGGATCATGCTGCATTTTATTATAACTAATTTTAATAATTTAGTGCAAAATGTTTTAACAAGCCTGACTTCTCGAAGTCAACTTTCGTTAAAAGAAAATAAATAAAGCAGAGGTTTGTAGGCACACTGTATTTTATCAAATAAAAAAGTCGGCACACTAAATACCCGAATATACAAAATACATTACACACGGTTACAAAACCATTACTTAACAATTTAAAGCGTTTATTCAAATCTACCACCCTCCATATCTCCCGCATTTTTCCCGCAAAGGAGTTCACATAAAACGTTTTGAAAAAGTTCAAGCTAGCTTTAGAAGCAGCTGATTTCCCCAATCGTCTTGAATTTTGCAATTGGTTCCTAAGCAGAACTTTATTAACAAAGTGCTCTGGACGGATGAATGCTGTTTTACTCGTGCTGGCATTTTAAACAGGTAAAAAACATAAGTTTTGCTTTCTCAAAAACAATAAGTGCCTACCTAGGTTACACCAAAGTTTAGATTTACACTAAAGTTTACATTTATTATGTAATATTTGGTTATACGCAACTGCATATTGAATAATAAACTGAAATACTAAAACTGTGTATTATTTAACATAATAAATTATAAAACGTGAAAACGTTAATAATATTAAAAATAATAAATTGTATAACCGTACATTCGAAAACAATCATCCCTATTAATTGATGACACGATTTTCCTTTGACAACAACCGATAACTTTTTGCTCTACTTTGCATGGAATACGATCCTACTAAAGTGCACACGTGCAAATTAGAAGGTTATTGACCTCGACACAGGTTAACCTAGGTCGGAACACGTACCGAGTTGTTTATTTGTCTCCGTCCGATTGTATTTTTATCTTCTATTACTTACAGTCAATATTTAAATACTACATACATTTCACCCTCTCTTTATAATTTATCTAGTGAGTGTTGGTTTTTTATGTCATTATTTCTGTAATGAAATTGAAATGGTTTTGAAATGAAATTTAAATTATTTGAACTCTTGGGGTTTTGTAATTTCAATATTAAATTTTATTTAAAGTGAAACAGAGCTAATTTCTTTGCAGCCATAATAGTCACATTTCGTAAGATGAAAACCAGCACACTACTCGTCGGTTTAGCTTTCAGAGGAGGTTGGGTGTCAATGTACGGACAGGAGTATATGGCGATCGTTTAATTGAGCCGCATTTTCTACCTGTACATCTGAATGGGCCGCGTTACTTTCAATTTTTAATAGAAGGCTTACAGCAAATTAAAAAATTATCACTACGATGTTAATAAAAAATGATTTTTGGCAAGTCATGCTCAGACCTCCTCGAGGTTCTTGCAACAATAATAATTTAATATGTTGATTGCATAATTATACAAAAATAATTTATATAGCATTTTAAATTATTATTGGCTGACGTGAGCAAACCGTTTATTTATTGTCTTTGTATGTGCGAAAATATATAAATATGGCAACATTGCATCTAGGTCGCTCTGTTCATATCGTAGCCGGCTGACGTCAGCCGGTCAGTAACAGCCTGAAAAGGGGGTTAAATAATGATTTGAAAAAATTTTTTTTCAGCTTAAATATGCATTTAATTTTTTTTTAATCACGCCATCGTATTATACTCATTTTTCTCTATCTGCTCTTAAAATTAATGACATTATGACTGAATCACCCTGTATTTTATAGTATAAATATATAGCCCTTCTAAAGACGAATTTGGCGATATAAGGTTAAACCTACTTTTTTGTTATAGTTTTATTATAGCAAAAAAATGTAAAAAATTGTCTTCTATGTCGTACTCACTCTTTATTAAATTTTTCCTCCTTATTCTAAAGCTTTTCTTTGTCAAAAAAAAAACACATCGATAAACACATAAAATCCACCAGAGTACCATAGGTATAACGTTAATCGTTTTAGTTCCAATTCATTTGCTGTTAAATTATTTTGAAAAATGGTTGCCAGTTTAGGCGGAAAACAGATAATTGAAATTTTAATTATGATTGGATGCGGAGATAAAATCCGTAGTCAACAGGAGATATGTGACTTATTTCACTATAAGTATCCAGACCAGAGAATTAGTAGAGGTACAATAAGTAAAGTATCCGAAAAGTTTGAAGAAATCGGAAGTATAAAAGATTTACCTGGATCAGGGAGGCGAAGAACGGTAAGCGGAAATGCCCGCAAAATGTGATGCTCGCCGTTACTGAAAATCCTCACTCATCTATTAGATCTGTCTCGGCCAACTTCAACTTGTCCTCAGTTCATAGAACTCTGAAGTCTCAAAAGTTGAATCCTTACAAAGTTAACGTTTTGCAAAAACTATGGACAGAAGATACAGTCGAAAGATTACAGTTTTGTGATGAAATTAGAAATTTATTTGAAAGACAACCCAACTTAAAAAATCACATAATTTTCACTGACGAAGTAACTTTTTGCTTAAACGGAACCGCGAACAAGCAAAATACTCGGTTTTGGAGCCCAAAAGATCCGCGTTGGATGCAAGAAAAATATACACAACGGACGGAAAGAGGGAATGTTTGGGCAGGAATAGTAGGAAATCGCATTCTTGAACATTATTTCTTTGGGGGCAATTTGACAGGCGACATTTATTTGGATTTTTTGCGTTATCAGCTGATTTCAGCCCTGGAATTAATTTTTCCTAACCCTAATGAGCACGATATGTCTGCTGGTGATGTCTGGTTCTAGCAAGATGATACCCCTCATTTACCCCGTACCCACATTTTAACCACGATGTAAGAAATTATTTTAATGAAGTTTTCCCAAATCAATGGATATGCAGAAGAGGGCCACTTGAATGGCCACCACGCTCCCCTGACTTAACCCCAGTAAATTTTTTTGTAGGGTTGTCTAAATATGTAAACGTAAATATGTAATATGTATATGTAAACAGACCAGACACTATCGAAGAATTGAAAAATCATTTCGGAGAAGAAGTTTGAAACATAACACCAAATGTTATTCGAAATGTAACTGATAACTTTGAACACCAATTGTGCAATGGTTAATGGCGACCACTTTGAATATTTGCTGTAATAAAATGAAAAGTAGTACTAAATTATTGTTTTCCTTTAATTTCTCCATTTTTGACAACTATGACAAAAAAGCAGGCATAACCTTATATCGCTGAATTCGTCTTTAGAATGCCTATTTATTTATACTATAAAATATAGAGCGTCCTATTAAAAAGATATATCGGTAATGTTATAGGTCTGTCAAACATGGCTCAAAAAAATTGAAAACATTGCAGGAAAGTAACAATTTCTATTTACTAATTGACCTGTTTCAGCAATTTTTTTAAATTTTAACTGGAACAAAAATAAGAATTTTGTTCCATCATTTTGGGTATACAGGGTGTCTCATAATTAGCTGCCAACCCTGAACAGGCCGATTCTATCATCAAAACTAAGTAAAAAAGTTCATATGAACATGGGTCCGGAAATGCTACCTAAGGGCACAGGGACCCATTGAAGAGGGAGGAATGGGAATCATTTTTTTGCCATATCTCTCAATCGCGTTGTGATAAATGAATGAAATTTGGTATACACAGCTAAATTTTGATGAGCAATTTGATGGACTAATCCATTTATTTCCACAAGGTCCATTGGGGTGGGTACGGGGGGGCCCTTGGTACTTTGCGTGTGTAACTTTTTCATCTTTGACTTTTTAACAAATTGGACAGCAAATTCCGTTTTCCCGAACTGTTTTACGTTAAAAAGGTACTCTTGTTTCAAATCGTTATCTTTAACGGTTTCTGAGAAAATCGCTCTTGAATTAATCCCACTTTGGTCAATTTCATAGTAATTTAAACAAAAAATAATAATAATAATTTAATACGTAATCAGTAATACACATTATTGATGTAGAACAATTATGATATGATGATTTGTTTATGGCTTTTGCGATGGTAATGCTGCGCGGCAGAACGCGAGTACGGCAGAAGGTTTCCAAACAGAAGGCTGACATCAAGGAGGACATTCCTCACTGTATTCCGCAATTTAGCTGCAACCGTCACTTTTCGAAGGGATCATAAGATGGAAACTTAATTTTGATAACAGACAACAAGCTATTTTAAAAACTGTTCAAAAAACCCTCCACCTTCTCTGATACAAAGTCTTGCCCTACGTGTAACACTTCTCGAAGCTATTAAGATGCTAAAACGGTTTTGACGAATTTCATTGGCTGCATCATTGATACGCTGCAGCAATTCCTCACGGGTATCGACTTCGGTGGCGTAAACTTTTTGATTTAGATATCCCCAGAAAAAGAAGTCCAGCGGGGTTAGGTCGGGAGAACGCGGCGGCCAAGCTACCGGTCCGTGCCTCCCTATCCACCGTCCAGCGAAATTTTCGTTTAGGAAATTTAGAACATTGCGACCACTATGTGCCGGGGCTCCATCGTGTTGAAAAAACATGTTACGTCGTAAATTTAGAGGCAGATCATCGAGAATTTGGGGAAGATTTTCTTGAAGTAAGTTTAAATAAAGATTTGAATTGAGACGTTGTGGAATTTCAATAGGTCCAATCAGAGTGTCGTGAATTATTCCCGCCCATAAATTTATGGAAAACCGTTGCTGGAAGTTTGTTCTCCGAACAACATGTGGGTTCTCTTCTTCCCAATAATGAGAATTATGAAAATTTAATTTTCCATTTCGGGTAAAAGTAGCTTCGTCACACCACAAAATTTTGGAAGCTTGCTCGTTGTCCAGCGACAAAATCCAGCGACAAAATTGCATACGTGGCGCAAAATCTTCTGGTATCAAGCCATGTACACGTCGATAGTGATAGGCATGTAGACCTTGTCGCTTTAATATTCTTCCAACCTGAAATGTTAGTAGCACATCTAATCAATTCTGTTAAGGAAATCTTTAAGATATGTAGTACCGTTGGCCGAGGAACATTTATTTGCCTTGAAATGTTCCGTATGCTAGTCGTAGGATCTTGTTCAATAGCGTCAAGGACCTCCGCTTCCCTATTAATCCTGGGACGTCCTTGACCCGGTGCCTTTCGAAAAGTGGCGGTTGCAGCTAAGTTGCGGAATACCGTAGGGAATGTCCTCCTTGATGGCAGCCTTCGGTTTGGAAACCTTCTCCCGTACTCGCGTTCTGCCGCTGCAGCATTACCATCGCAAAAGCCATAAATAAATATCATATCAACTAACTCTTGTCCCGTAAACTCTTCCATTTTTTTCGCTTAGAACTATTAAATTGGCAATCGGGTTGACAATACTTTGACATAAGAATACCTTGATAATTTTGTTTAAATTACTATGAAATTGACCAAAGTGGGATTAATTCAAGAGCGATTTTCTCAGAAACCGTTAAAGATAACGATTTGAAACAAGAGTACCTTTTTAACGTAAAACAGTTCGGGAAAACGGAATTTGCTGTCCAATTTGTTAAAAAGTCAAAGATGAAAAAGTTACACACGCAAAGTACCAAGGGCCCCCCCGTACCCACCCCAATGGACCTTGTGGAAATAAATGGATTAGTCCATCAAATTGCTCATCAAAATTTAGCTGTGTATACCAAATTTCATTCATTTATCACAACGCGATTGAGAGATATTGCAAAAAAATGATTTCCATTCCTCCCTCTTCAATGGGTCCCTGTGCCCTTAGGAAGCATTTCCGGACCCATGTTCATATGAACTTTTTTACTTAGTTTTAATCATAGAATCGGCCTGTTCAGGGTTGGCAGCTAATTATGAGACACCCTGTATAGCTGGATATGTAGCTTATTCCAAAATAATATATCTAGATTAATCAGTATTAAAATAAATAGATGACTTTCCAAATGCAAATTAGTTTTCCAAATATTCTTTTATTTACTAAACTCATGATTTAAATGTACATGTAATTGTAATAGAAAATATAAATTAACAGAATTAACAATAAGCTAATATTTCTAGTTAGGTATATAGATCGTTAGAAAAAAGTAGATCAAACTGTTAATCACAAACTTATCATTTTTCATTTAGATTTCATATAGTCAATGATACAATTTAAAATCTAGTTTTACTAATAGACCAGGGTCGATAATTTTTTAAACGAAAAAAAATTATAGTAGGATGAAACCCCTTGAAAAAGAAAGAGAATATAACAGAAATGAAAGGAAAAATAATTTACGGGCGATCTGAGGTCGGGAAGGGGAAGGGGGTGAGTTTTTAAGGGTAAAAAACGGTTTCCCTTGATTTCCGGAAAAACTACAAGTCTTATGGAGAAAACTTACCATAGTAATGTATATTTTTTTACAACATCAGAAAGTAGAGATTTCAACGAAGAAAAAGCCCACCGACGTTTTTAAAAAGGCAGATATTTTGACGTGAGAATTTTCGATTGAAAATTAGGGTGCTTTTTCGATATTAAGTAAAAATAAGGTGAAAAAATAAATATTTCAAATCAAAAAAATTACAGCGTGTTTGGGACATAAATAGGTAAGTTTTCACCAAATTTCGTGAAAAAAAAATTTTTTTGTAAAAGATAAAAATAAAAAACCAAAAACTTGGTTATTTGAATTTTTCACATAAATTTTGAGGTTATGTGAAAAAAGTGTAAATACAAAAGTTGTAGATCTTTTTATTACCTACAACTTTGCCATTTAACTTTTTTCCATAAGACTTGTAGTTTTTCCGGAAATCAAGGGAAACCGTTTTTTACCCTTAAAAACTCACCCCCTTCCCCTTCCCGACCTCAGATCGCCCGTAAATTATTTTTCCATTCATTTCTGTTATATTCTCTTCCTTTTTCAACGGGTTTCATCCTACTATAATTTTTTTCCACTTTTTACCATTTTTGAAGGCTTAAGCACTGGTCTATAACAATCCGTTGTTATTTAATACGCGCAATTGAAATTTCACATGACTGTTTTCCTATGTAGCTACATTTTTTGTGTAATTTTGACAAAAATAATCAAAGCGTAAATGAAGTAAAGAGGAGTTGTAGTGTTCATGGATTCTCTCAACTTTTTTATATACGTACACGACCCAAATATTTATATTTATTTATTACTTTCGTAAGTTATGATTTGGCACTGCGACTTCTTTGGGTATGTGACATTAATTTTCTATATTTTTTTTATTTTCCTTTAACACAATTATTTATGTAGTTTAAGTTTGACAAAAATGACTAAAACCAATTTTTCTTATTATTAATAAAACTATTAACTGATAAACTAAGAAAACAACTAAGTAACAAATCCTTTTTTAGGTGGTTCCGGAAGAGGTTTCGGTTTTGGTATTGAAGGCGGTTTGGTTGGTAATGCAAGTGAATTAATTGGAAAAAGTGGTAAGTTCTGTTTATCCAAATTTCGAAGAGATGGACTTTTGTTTAAAATGATATCATTTTTCGTAATAAATGTAAAACCTTTTTTTTCACTGTAATCTTCGTAGTTATATGGCAGTTGTATGAATTGCCATATTACTAAAATACTGTATACTATAATTCAGAGTATACTGAATACATTCCGTATTTAAGTATTTTAATCATTTTTAATTTAATAAGAGGATAAAATAGATTCATTTAAAAATAATTGTTTTCAAGTCACTACTGTGATATTGACAGTTTTTAGTAATTTGTAATTCCTGCACTTCCAAAAGTGCCATAACAAATGATGAATCCTGATGAATGAACAAAAAAAGCAACAATTTCGGAACTAAGCGAACTTATTTTAGAATATTTAATCTATTTTATTATCTTATTTCATATTTACATTCACATAATTCTTAGCATTATATTTTGTAAGCAATTTAATGAGAGTAAAATGAATCATAATTAAAACATAGATACGTAGATTCGGTTTCCGAAATATTCAGGTACTGAGGTTTACATCCAAATGACATTAATATACAGGGTGGCCAAATGAAAACGAAACAGAGACATTTTCAGGAACTGCGTCAAGATTGTAGAAAAACGCTCAGACCTGTCGATTTTAGATTAAATAAGGGGGACATTCTTTGCTGGTATTTTTGACTCCGCCACTTTCACCNAGTAAATAAAGGATCATGCTGCATTTTATTATAACTAATTTTAATAATTTAGTGCAAAATGTTTTAACAAGCCTGATTTCTCAAAGTCAACTTTCGTTAAAAGAAAATAAAATAAAGCAGAGGTTTGTAGGCACACTGTATTTTATCAAATAAAAAAGTCGGCACACTAAATACCCGAATATACAAAATACATTACACACGGTTACAAAACCATTACTTAACAATTTAAAGCGTTTATTCAAATCTACCACCCTCCATATCTCCCGCATTTTTCCCGCAAAGGAGTTCACATAAAACGTTTTGAAAAAGTTCAAGCTAGCTTTAGAAGCAGCTGATTTCCCCAATCGTCTTGAATTTTGCAATTGGTTCCTAAGCAGAACTTTATTAACAAAGTGCTCTGGACGGATGAATGCTGTTTTACTCGTGCTGGCATTTTAAACAGGTAAAAAACATAAGTTTTGCTTTCTCAAAAACAATAAGTGCCTACCTAGGTTACACCAAAGTTTAGATTTACACTAAAGTTTACATTTATTATGTAATATTTGGTTATACGCAACTGCATATTGAATAATAAACTGAAATACTAAAACTGTGTATTATTTAACATAATAAATTATAAAACGTGAAAACGTTAATAATATTAAAAATAATAAATTGTATAACCGTACATTCGAAAACAATCATCCCTATTAATTGATGACACGATTTTCCTTTGACAACAACCGATAACTTTTTGCTCTACTTTGCATGGAATACGATCCTACTAAAGTGCACACGTGCAAATTAGAAGGTTATTGACCTCGACACAGGTTAACCTAGGTCAGGAACACGTACCGAGTTGTTTATTTGTCTCCGTCCGATTGTATTTTTATCTTCTATTACTTACAGTCAATATTTAAATACTACATACATTTCACCCTCTCTTTATAATTTATCTAGTGAGTGTTGGTTTTTTATGTCATTATTTCTGTAATGAAATTGAAATGGTTATGAAATGAAATTTAAATTATTTGAACTCTTGGGGTTTTGTAATTTCAATATTAAATTTTATTTAAAGTGAAACAGAGCTAATTTCTTTGCAGCCATAATAGTCACATTTGGTCAGATGAAAACCCGCACACTACTCGTCGGTTTAGCTTTCAGAG